GGCTGCCGCCGCTACCGCCTCGCGACGATCGTCAACTTCTTGGCGCTCGGGCTGGAGCCGGGGCGCGACGTGGACTTGGAGCAGCTGGAGCAGAAGAGCTGCCTGGATGGCTGGGAGTTCAGCCAGGACGTCTACTTGTCCACCATTGTGACTGAGGTGAGTGTATGAGCGACCCTTCATCTGTATCAGTTCCCCGCCTAGACTCCCTGGCAATGCCTGGATCAGCGTCCCCGACTCTTCATCAAACCTGGCTGACGCACGACAGGGTTGTGCAGCCAGAGAGAGCAGAACTCACCTAGGCTCATTCCTAATTTTTCTGTCTAATATGAAGGGGACGGAGAAGAAAGAAAGGAGGCCGTTGTCATCTGCCTTTTCCTTTGACAGTTTCACAACAGACCAAGTTGTTTCCCAAGAGTCTAGACACCACCGGCCCCAGGCTCCCCAGATGTACAGCCTGAGTCAAGTTCCTGCCACAGGCTTGAGGAAAGGTGTGGGGGCTGCTGCTGAGCCCACATGCAGACACAAAGAAGAGCCCTGCTGCTGGGCAGGGCTTTGGCAGATCTGGCCTGTTCCCTGCCCACAGACTTCTGGAAGCATCAGAGGGTCTCCTGCTCTGTCATTCTCTATGGTGAGGCTTGGGTCCTGTCCTGAGGCTCCAATTTCTCTAGAAAGGAGCAGAGAACCTCCTGATACTGGCAAAGTGCAGGAAACCCTGACCTCAAGGCACTCATGAAGAGACAGACTCACAGAGACCATCTGAGCACAGGGCCTAGAGGTGGACAAGGGCTCCAGCTTATGCCATTACTCCCTTCCATCCGACATGGTTTAGTGGCAGGATTTCTAAGTTTCAAGAGTCAAGATATAGACATACTTTGTCCTCTGCATTTCCTATTTTGCATTTGATAAGGACCAGGTGTTGCTCGATCAGCACACATCTTCTGAAGAGGTTACCCTCATAGACTCGTTTTCTGCTGTTAAATCAGGCATGTAGAATTTCCCAGCTTCTGGCCTCTCCTCTGCTCTATGTGAAAACCTGAGCATAGTGTCTGCTAGTCTTCTATCTCCTTTCCTCAGCACAGTGGGACAGTAATAGGATACTATGCCTGGCCTTGTGCTTTCAAAGCTCAGATGCCCACAGGGCACACTGGCCATGTTAGAGTCAGCTAACATCATACCTGGTTAGGAACAGGGTTCAGGAACCTGAATTCAAATCCTGACAGGCTTACTGTGTGACCTGGGGCAAAAATTACCTTTTCTGTGGAGATAGCAGGGTGAGGAAATACTCTTAAGAAGAGGTGTTAAAATTTGAGCTGAGTCTGGAAATGTGACCAGGCAAAGAACATGGCAGATTCTGGGGATGGGATTTCATAGATCAAGATGGCCTGGAACTCAAGGAATGGCAGGTGAGGCTAGAAATGTCTGCAGGGGTATCTTCACAATGGCCTTGTAAGAATGTTGAAGAGTTGACATTATTCTGAAGACAGTGAGGAAATAGTAAGGGTTCAAAGGAAGAGGTAACATGGCCAGATTTGTGTTTTGAGTAAGAACTCACTCTCACTGCTATGAAAAACAAGAAGACCAGTGAGGAAGCTGTGGGAATTGTTTTGGCAGGAGACTGGTGGCCAGGTAAGAGCAGTGGCTGTGGAGTCAATAGGAACTGTGGAAAGTGGACTCAGCCTGTGGAGCACCTCTTGATTCCCCTCAGCATTGGCACTATGCTGACCCTGGTCCCTGAGGTGGCCGTGCTTCTCTGGCTTTGATCTCCTAGCAGGGGCTCCTAGTGCTTGCCCATCCTCTGGTCCTGGAAGTGTCGTCAGCACCTGAGCTGGAGCTGGCCCTACTGGCTGCAGCCCTCCTTGACAGCTGGGCTGACTTGTCTCTTTCCCCTTTCTTGCTTGTTTTGTTCACTTCAAGGTGTGAGGGGTGGGTAGCTCCTGGCTTACAAGTACATAGCTATCCCTGTTGTGCTCTTCACAGGGGCCTGTGGGTACCTCTGGGGAGGCACATCATCACACTCTCACACATACACACCAGGACTTGCTTTTTCCAGCAGTCTTTCACTTCCTGGCTTCCTTTTTGGGTGCTAGGAGTAAAATAAAAGGCAAAGGGGCACTAGTAGTTGGGAGGAAGGAAAGGAGTAGCTTGAAAGTGGGTAGGGTGGGGTGGTTCTCCCCAGAGAGGCGATGGCACAAGGAGGAGTTCTGGAGTCAGACCAGAGGGCCACTTCTGACCCGGTCTTTAACCAGTGGGATGACTTTAGCAGGTTACATCATTGCTCAGTGCCTCAGTCTCCTTGTCTATAAAAGGGGATACAAGCAAGTGAAAAGATGCTCAACATCACTAATTATTAAGGAAATGTAAATAAAAACCACAGTGAGATGTCACCTGACATCCATTAGATTGACTGCTATCAAAACCAAAACCAAACAAACAAAACAACCCTCCCCCAAAATAACAAGCAAGCATGTGGAGAATTTGGAACCCTCATGCACTGTTGGTAAGAATGTAGTACGGTGCAGCTACTATGGAAAACAGTGTGGCAGTCTCAAAAATTAAAAATAGAACTACCATATGATCCAGCAATATTGCTTCTGGGTATATATCCAAAAGAATTGAAAGCAGGGTCTTGAAATATTTGTATACCCATGTTCATAGCAGCATTATTCACAATAGCCAAAAGGTAAAAGCAAATCAAATGTCCAGCAATGGATAACGGGTAAATAAAATACGGTGTATACACACAATGGAATATTATTCAACCTTAAAAAGGAAGGACATTCTGACACATGCTGCAACACAAATGAACCTTGAGGACATTATGCTAAGTGAAATAAGCCAGTCACAAAAAAGCAAAAACTGTATGATTTCACTTATATGAGTTACGGAGAGTAGTCAAACTCACAGAAACAGAAGTGGAATGGTAGTTGCCAAGGTGGGAGGGGGAAATGGGTAGTTGTTTAATGGATATACAGTTTCATTTTGTAAGATGAAAAGAGTTCTGGAGATTGGTTGCACAACAGTGTGAATACATTTAACTCTATTGAACTGTACACTTAAAAATCATTAAGATGGCACATTTTATGTTATGTGAATTTTATTACAGCTGTTTAAAATGAGGATCATAAGAATGCCCCACTTATCTGAGTTGTTGGGAGGCTTCAGTGAGATCATGCACCACACCACATCTGTAGCGCCAGCAAATGGTCGTCATAGGTGGATGGGTGAGGGGTGGTAAAGGTCTCATCACCTGTGGCTGGTGACACTGTGGGAGTCGTTCTAAGGTTAAGGTTGCAGCCTGTTTAATGGATGATGAGACTTGCTGGTGACAGAGCCCTCTTTTTCCAGAGTGGAATTCTAGGGCCCAGATAATAGGACACAGGTCCAAATACTGTGCCGGGGTTAAAAATGGCCTCAGGTCCCTGATAACATCAAGCCCAGGGGCCCTGAGCAAGTCCTCGGCATCCCTCTGGCACCATACAGCTAGAGGGACCATCCTCAGACTGTCTCTGCTTTATACCTCTGTATGGGATCTCCTGATGGCAATACCCTTCTGGAACAGAGAAGCCCACCTGAAATGACCCTCTGGCTCCTCCACAGGGAAGACAGGTCAGCCAGGGACTCGAGGATGGCATGTTCTGCTGTGGAGATGCCTTTCAAAGAATGCCAGGAGGCAGGAACCTGCTGTCTGAGTTGGGACCTGAATAGGTGCATCTGTCTGTGTGTTTAGGTGTGTGAGGTAGTCTCCTTCATTGAGGGCTGTTTGTGAAGTCCAATTTATTTGTCCTGGGCAGGGCTAAGAATCACTTAGAAAAAACAACAACTTTCATTTGGAAATAATTTTCATTTAGAGAAAAGTTGTGAAAATAGCACAGAGAATTCACATATACCTTCCATCTGGCTTCCCCTAATGTCTACAAGTTACATAGCCATAATTCATTTATCAAAACTGGGAAATTAACATTGGTGACCATATTATTAGGTAAACTATAGACCTCGAATTTTACCAATTTCTCCACTACTGTTTTTTCTGTTTTAGGATCCAGCCCAGAATCCCACATTGTATTTAGTTGTCAAGTCCTTTGTCTCCCCAAGTCTGTGACAGTTCCTCAGTTTGTCATGATCTTGACACTTTTTATGAGTCTATCAGTTATTTTGATGAACGTCCCTCAATTTGGATTTGTGTGATTTCTCTCATGATGAGACTGAGTTTGTGCCCTTTTTGGTAAGAATACCAGAGAAGTGATATGTCCTCGGGGCATCTTACCAGCAGGCACATGATGTTGATGTGGCTGACTACTGGTGACATTAACCTTGATTACTTGGCTAAGTTGGTGTCTGCTGGGTTTCTCCACTGTAAAGTTACTATTTTTTCCCCTTCATAATTAATAAATATCTTGAGGGAGATACTTTGAGACTGTACAAACATCCCGTTTCTTCCTGGACATTCTACCGAGTGATTTTAACATCCATTACTAGACTTTCACTGGAACAGCTATTTCTGTGGGTGTTTGCCTAGCGGTGATTTTCCATCTCCCACATTCATTCCTATTTATTAACTGGAATTCTTCTGTAAAGAAGAGCTTCCTTTTCACTCGCATTTACTTATACAATTATTACTTCATATCAGTACAGACTTAGGCGTATTTATTTTATTCCATGAGTCATAACCTAATACTATCCTTCTTTACTTCGTTGCTCTGGTTGTTCCAGCTTGAACCAAATTATTTTCCACTTTAAGGAGAAAGAATGTAAAAATCCAGGGTGAGGTCCTTCATCTGTCTCTGGAGTCAGGGCTAGAGGAGCCTGTGTCTGCCCCCAGGGAAGAGCACCAGTCACCTCTTAGCTAAGTTATCCGTAGGGTGGGAGCATAGGAACAGGAGCAGGGGCTGGTGGGATCTGGCCCAACGCGTGGGATTGAAGCTTCTGCTGGGGACGGAAGGGACCCCAAGCATCCCAGATGATCTGCCTGATGATGGAGTCTTTGTCACTGAGATCTACCGCAGTGGTGAGACCAGTCTCCATGGGCATGACCCTCCATCCAGCACTTCAGTGCCACAGACCCCAGGGAGCAAAGGCCTTATGGGTGAAAGGAAGCTCAGGAGCCTCCTGCCCTGAGGCTGAAGGAGCAAATGCCCTCTCTCCAGGGGGCCTAGATT